ATGCAATAGTAGACTAAAGGTTGCATGGGTCGATCAGAGAACGATGTATGGGCAAATAAAATACAAATATACATACTGCAGGAAAAACAGCAGATATGGGACTATTGACCACGACCTGATCTTGATCTAATGACATGAAATGTAAGATACAGGTCTGCAAGATAGGAGAAAACACTGACAGGGCGGTACGAGTCTGGCTAGCCACTTCATGGACTGGTCGAGGCCTGAAACTTGCGGCTCGAGCACGTAGTCTCCGAATTGATTGACATTGAGCCTAGGGGTGTAGCTCAACTCAGAATTATGGAGTAACCCGCACTCTGCTCGGAAAGTAGTTGCATCTACTGTGGCATTTCCTGTGGCGCCATCTGCTTGAACAGTGTCGTACAGTGTGGGACCATTAAGTCCTGCGTTCGACGAACTGGTAAATCGACCCAAAGAGGGGACGATGGCACTGATGGTATGCCACTGAAGCCCCATCATGTCTACATTTGGACCAGGCCAGTGAGAGAACGTAGTGACCGACACGTTCGTGGTTGAGCTGAATGTCTGCAGCTGAAATATGGATGATGATACAACGTGAAGCGCGAATACACAGCCCAGATAAGTAGTAATAGATGCAATCCACCACAATGATCCAGTGGTACTCGATTGCTGCCAGAAACACTGCAATGCAGAACCAAGGCCGCTCCATGCATTAACATTGTCATGGAGGATGGTCAATTTTTGATGCTGGAACAGGTTCCTGTAAAGTGTCAGACGTTGCGCCAGGTAAACGAGTATCGTGCAATACAGCTTTACGAATCAAGGTCAATGGACTCTATTTCAACGAGCAAGCAGTCTTACCACATAAAAGACCTGTGTCAATACACTCAATACCGTCATCCATGTACCATCCTCAGATGTGACAAGGCGGTGCTCGACACCCGAAATGCTTAGCGCAAGGAGAATAAGATGGAGAAGGACGAGAAATATGTGCATAAAGGTGCATAGAAATGTTGATATCAATTTGTGCGGCATTTTTGTGGACAGCGATGAATTAAAGAAACCTGTAGCCGCTGGGACAAGAGTCGGACGTGTATTGCCGCCGGGCAGGCATTGAAGATGAGTGCTTGTTGGTATTCGTTCGTGTGCAGAACAACTGGCGACACTCCCAATCGGCTGCAATGACATGGAATCATCATTGTCCTGTCGCTTTGGGTTCACGTTAAGTAGTAGAGAAGATAACATGAAGGATACGTAGACGGTTCAGCCTGGGTAGCTGTATTTACGTCGCTTCAAATGATGTATTGTGTTCAGTCCCCACTACGTGATGCTACGCAGCCTGAGATGACCCACATCAATTACATGGCTGTAACGGTGAAAATGATTAGGACTCACCGATGATCGATGAAGCTTAAGGCTCTCCAAGATTGTACTAGTCCAGAGAGAGAATGTCTCAGGATCAAATATTCACGACATGCCGCGCTAACTTCACAATGCAGATTCAAGATTGTACTGGTGTCATTGAATTGACGCCACAAAGTTTTACAAGTACACAGTAACAGTAGTAGTGTTCTGTGGATAACTGTCTGAAGGGTTATCCACTGTGGATATCCACCCAAGCGCAAAGAGTGGTCAGTAATCCACCGGTGAGTAACGTGGATATCCACCCGCAGGAAAACCGGCCCGGCAGTCCCGATCGCTGCAAAATTTCGCAATTCCTGGCACTTCGTAACGATTTTGGTAAATCACAAGCATACATATCAATGTAGACTCTACGCCATGCTCCAGTCTTCCTCAGTTAATACCCTCTCTTCCAGGAAAGTGCTTGCCGGCAGAAGAGTTATGGTGTTTCTTGGTGCTTCTTGAGAGGGTGATAAATCCTTGTCGGCGAGTACATCAGCTAACTTCCTAGAGTCGAGATTGATAATACTGGCAGTGTCAAAAGCCTCGCCATTAAAAGAATCTGCTTTATTTGACCCGTCGTCAGCTATATCCTCTGGGTCAGTACCATCCAAGTCCGAGTCATCATTCTCCACTTCAGGCTCGTTGTCTGCTTCATCCGCGAAATCAAAATACATACATAATCTCCATAAAAAACTTACGAGGATCGAGAATAAAACCAGTCAAATACACGTCACATGGTGCATCATTTACCATTTGATTAAAACGGTAATTGACAGCTTGTCGAATCTCCTCAGTGACACGAGTGGGCAAGCCAGTGATATCCTCAGTGATAATCTGGTGGATTGTTGCTGTGACAGCAAGCCAGAAAAGATACACATCTGACACATTAGAGTGAGTAGACTCGAGGCATGTTATGGCCTTCGCAATTGGAGCAAGTACTGTAAGAAGTTGTTGAAGTGCAACTTCATATGTGATTCTTTTGACGACTCATCACCTTCTACCAAAAATACCCGACGCACAGGAGTGATCACATGTACGGTATAAACAGATTGGGGCATTTTCGTCGTCATTCCATCGAAAGTGATGGTAAGGTCATTGCAGGTACGAAGGTGCTCCAGTTGTAATGATTCGATGCGAGCTGCCTCATTGGGAATTTGTGTCTCGGTAAGTACTGCACAAGATGCTGGTTCGTAGTCGGGATTTCCATGCCTCCACATTGTCTTCCATTCCTTCGAGTCAACTTTTGATGGTGGAATACCTCCAACACACACCAGTTTCAGGACGTCAAAGTCAAGCTGGTCTTTGAGTGCTGAAATGTGTGCCTTGTGCTGCGATGGATATATTGATGTTTGTTTGACTGGCAGTGGCGCACTGGAAGATGTGGGTGCAATGGTAACTCGGGTGGATGCAGGTGAGTTGTACTCCGCAGTCAGCACTACCAGGCTTTGACTTTCAATGCGGCCCCCTAAGGATTATTTAGCCATGGCAGTGCGAACACGGTCACGTAGCGTTAAATCAATTTTGTCGAGTTTTCCGCATTGTAATGCGTGTCCGAATACTCGGGTCTTCCAGCGAGGTGCAGCCCAGGTGGTTGCACATCCATGTTCAGCTCCAGCACACCGAACAATCAACTTTTCAGGGTTACTTTTGAGGTATGTATTGACTGAGACAAGATCCATCAAAGGATCAACTTTGGCACCTCCTTTCCCCTTTACAGGTGTTGGTTCGGCGTCTCTGTATAGGTGCATGACGGATATGTTGGACTCGACAATCTTTTTCTTCTTCTTCGATGCCTTCGACTTATTCGGCGGGGGGCTGTGAGATGTTTTTGATCCACTCGGCACGAGTTCAATGTCTGGGTGGTTGCGAGACGACAATTCAACCTCATGTGAAGATGTCGGTAACTGAATAACAGGTCAGTAATTCAGTTTCACTGGAAAGAAAATTAAATCTGATTCACAGCTTGTCCGGTCGCGAGAATGAGACCTCGTGCAGCTCCGAGAGTATCAGTCACCCACTTCTCTAGGATGATATCACCCGGATATTTTTCAATCCATGTTTCGAACACATCCACTATGGCTTCCGTCTCTGGGCCTCGCTCTACAAGTTTCAAGCCATTGACACGGTTGCCAAACCTAACCTCTAGCTCTCGGTTGACAGCACCAACCTCACCAATCTCTGCAGTCCAATCAGCGTCCGGGCTGAAGTTAGAAAAATTGTACTTTGACTGCTCTGGAATAGGAATATCGGTTGGCAGTGCCTTGAGACAGAGTCGCAGTTCAACTAATTGATCCTTGAGATGTGGTTGCATGTAAGTGTAAGTTTCGAGGTTGACGGATCACAATGAGGAGGATAGACAACTTGTCGCCGGTCAAGATTTCAGTCATTTTTCGAGTTGATGTTCAACTAAACAATCATTGTCTTGATGTTGCATCAAGTCAAGTAGACTAGATCCCTCGTTCGAACCCCATGATAGACGCGCGGGGTTCGTGATTTAAGCTTTTTGAGGGTATTTAATGAATATTTAATGTAATCCCTACACACCGAGTCACTGACACCATTTTTGAGTTATCCACGTTATCCACCTATCAATTTTGGCCTTGGGTTATCCACCTAGTTATTCACAGGTGGATAACTGGTGGATATCCACCCGGGTGGAAAACTAGGTGGACTTCCACGGAACACTAAACAGTAGGAGCCGTCTCCTCTGCCCTCCTGTGCTCTCTAATTCGCAGGATCGGGAAAAGCGATCTCACGAGTCAGGCTCTCCAGCTAACCCGGAGCGCTGCATTGGTACCCATTTCACGGTTACTTCCAGCGCAGCGCACAGACATTATGATGGTATCAGATCCCGAACTAGCTAGCGCGACGCCAGAGCTATCTGGGATGATGTGTTTCCAATATTGCCAAGGTAGTTGCAAAGCATGGGAAAGTCTGACCGCTGATGATTCGGGTGTTCGTCTCTCCCTCCTCCAACACTCGTCCGAATCCAACGTATAGTCATTATACTCCAATCCTGTGGGTGCTTGAACAGCGAGTAATGATGATCTCTTCACATTGTGCCACTAAATTTTCTGCGAGATTTCTGCTCCTCGTGCATAGGTTTATGCCCTGCGCTGGCCGGCGCCCGCCCCCTTGCCTGGATCTGAAGTAGAATCTGGATGAAGTTCTTGTAAAGCCTGTTATGGACTGACTCCGAGGAGGTCCGTGAAACATAAAAGTCCTAAAGCAATACGCATGGCTCGTATGATGTCCTCTCATACTTCATGTCATCTTTACTACTGCCCAACTTCTTCAAGCTACGTCAAGATGACGGCGTCCTTCCCTTGCACCACATAGGCACCCTTCACACGTGTTCTGCGGAACTCGAGCGAGTACAAACACTCACTACGTCGTTAGGTACTCTCATGCAGCATAGCGTTGTTTTCTCTCACATCAAGGATTGCAGATCACCAACCGGCCCCGTCGCCAGTTATTAAGCAGCGGGAGGAATCAGTGAGGCCACCTCTTGCCATTCTATGCGCCCTTCTGCACATCACTCTCGTTCTCCTCCACGTTGTTATTCTTGCGCTCAACATTTCGGGTATCGAGCATCGTCTAGTCGTCCTGATCACATCTGGAAATGAAATCTGGGTGACTATATTGAGTGCATCATCACAGGCCTTTTATGCGGTAAGGATTCGTGACATATCAACTGTGTTTTCTTGAACCAATGTTCCTCCAGATCTATTGCGCGGTACTCGTTTACCTAATGCAACGATTGACACTCTTCAGGAACCTCACACAACGCCAGACGGTAACCGTTCTTCATGACACGGTGAACGCATGGAGCGGCCTTGGTTCTGCTCTGGAATGTCTTTGGCGGCAATCAACTGTCCCTGCATCATGGTGGAGCATATTATCAATAACGGTCTATCTTGCATGTGTTTTCACCTTTCACGTGGTTTCGTCATCCGTCATTCAATTGCAAACGTTCAACGCCACCGTGGATGTGTCCGCGACGAAATTCTCGTACTGGCCTAGTCCAGACGTAGATATGATGGCAATTCAGTGGCAAACCATCAGTGCATTAGTTCCTACATTAGGTCACTTCGCCAATCTTCAAGAAATGGGGCTCGAGGGTGCTACTCTGTACGACACCATTCAGTCTAACGATATATCTGGCCACGCCATCGTGAATGCGACGTCTTTCAGAGCGAATTGCAGATTGGTTCGCAATTCGGTATTGACCTATTCTTATGAAATTGATACTGACAACTTCGGATATTATACACTCAAACCGCCGATCTCAAATCGCACCATGAAATTTAGGGCTAGACTTGTAGCTCCGTGTATGTATTTCTTCTACGTAGTCCTGGAATAAATTCATTCATCATCTACTAGTCCCAGATCAGGTCGCGATCAATCCTGCCATGTCCTCGTTCTTTCCAGGAGTACAAGTCAATCTTCCTGAAATTTTGAATCTCTCACTCAACTGCATTATCACAGCCGACCGTTGCTTTCATGGTTTCGACTGCTGTGAATTCGGGCAACTTATTCGACAATGAAACTGTTCAACACATGTATTGGGAATATCCTTCAATAACCTTTATAGGTATGGGGTTTTACTACGCATGAATATCAGCTGATCACGACTATAGGTAGTCCCCAGCCCCCCCTAATTTCCAGCATGTACGATGTTCATATAGTAGCATGCACAATTGATATTCAACCCCATGCCGCAACTATTGATGTACAAACCAATCAACTACTGGGTCTTTCCCCACCCCCTGGGCCGGTTGCTTTCAGGGAATGGGAAGTATGGTCCGCGCCGGAAGAAGAACCCAAATGGGATATTTGGTCACCGCCATCAGCAAGTGCATTGCATCATGAAAAATGGGTAAGTTATGCCATTGTTTGGACCCCTTGAGATCTACCTGTATGGTTTCTGGTACTCAATGGTTTTCCGGAAGCTTGTCTCTCCTTTCGCAAGTGGGGCACAGCATCCCACCAACTGGTGCATGAATCAAGACCGAGCATCATGCTATGGACTATCTCTTCTGGAAGTGTAATTCACGCTTAGCTCCCAACAATGTTCAGTCCTTTCTAATCATCACGTCAGATTTTTTATGCAGCAGATTGGAATAAATATTGTCTTTCCCCACCCAACATTGAACTTTGTTGGGGGCCTGGGCAGAGCTCCGCCACGTCCGAGGGAGGTTCTGTGCAGTCGTGACCGATTTGAATCGGCTCTATCAAGGGCCTATGCCGCAGTTCTATGGACAGGTATGTAGCGACTTCCGATTGATCTGTACCGAAACGGTAGCTGACATACTGGGACTGAAAAGGTGGACAGCTCGGCGCCGACGGTGGTGGGTTTAATCGGAGCGTTGGAAATACCACCATTTCGCAGCAGCTTCTGCAGTGGCATCTTGGTGTAAGGCTCAGAATCGTTCAATAGTGTATTTCATTGCTGAACATTCTATCATCTAGATAAACTTATGGCCGGCAAGTATTCTGTTGCGTGTCAGAACTTATGTACCACTAACCAAAGCAATAATCTAGCTTGCAATGGCGCTCACCTGCTCTCTGATTTTGCTGGCGTTATCGATGCGCGTGACAAACGGGATGCATGGGCAGAACTGTACAATGCCTATCGATAGCGCTGGCGTTCTGCAGATCATTTGGCTGACGAGTCGCCTCCGTGTACTACCAGATCTCGTAAGTGACGTGGAAGGTCCACGAGAGGATATCCTTCGTGCTGCTGGGATGGTCGATGTGGACCTGCTGCAGGAGTTGAATAGCGTGCAAGTGGATGATAGTTAACAATAGTTACTAATACAAAATTTCCCTGAGGTCAGACATGGTTATGTCTGGCAGTGTCGGGAGCATCGCGCGCTGGAATGATCAGCTGTAAATCCTGCCCTGTAATCATATAGAACTTGATATCTGTTGCTCCGATTCGACGTCATAGATCGACCGATTCATATATTCTGGTAACAGTACGATGTAAACGATCGACGCACAGCAGCCACGCTTTTCGCAGCACCAACTAATGTACATACCTTCCAAACCTCATACGTGTCCGAAGCCAGCATCTCCGACCTGGCTTTGAACGGAACGCGTTTCCTCACACCCGCCCATTGCTGAGCGGCAGTACATCGGGCAAAGAGTTGGACAATCATATCTTCTTGACCGCGTTGTCTCCGTCGTCCCTTGCTCTCCTCTGCTTGGTCTGCACCGTCACTGTCAGCTAGAATCTGAGAAGCTTGTTGTGGGTACCTGCTGACGGCGACGCGAAGGAAAAGGATGAAGGCCCATCTAGAGAATGGGTTGGTTTTGTGAGACGAGAGGTGCTTGAATGCGCAGAAGAGAAGGGACGAAAGGAGAGACCTAGGATGATTGAATTTGAAACTGTCTTCAGTGACGAAATGATTGGGGTAGGACGTACGTGAGACTGGTACGTGCGCAGCGAGGGCGCGATCTGCTGGGTCGCTGTCTTCAAATTGGCACTACATAGTCTATGCTGAGACTCTTTTCTTGGGCCGCGGCCTATTTGAGAATGATGCAAGACGTTGAACAGCTTACAGCTAGGGTTAAGCACGCTGAAAGGCAAAAGAGCTCACTCTTGAAATACTCACTAATTATAACGCGTGGGTTTGTGAGTATTTGCAAACGAACTAAAATGGCCAAGTACTACACTTGGTGTCGTAGGGCGAAGTCAAGTAAATCACTTTCGTCACTGATAGGGGTTTCTGTTTGCGGTTTGTATCGGAGACGTGATGCACGTGGCCGCGTTTAGTTGACCTCAAAGCATGGCGCACGGTTTGTGCAAGGGTCCAAGAAGGCTCACGTACTCTCTGAAGGGTTTCACGTGTAGTGATCCTCTCCCGGCAGTCTCTGTCTACTACGTAGCGGCATGCAGAAATGTATAGTCGTAAAAGAAACGTACTCCAGGCAAAACAAAGAATGTTGATCTAAACACATGCAATACTACTCAAACCAAATGAAATGACACGCCTGCATCACCCATATGACCTCACCCCAAACTCATGGCAAAAGTTGCGATTCTCGTTGCCCACAATAAGCTAGAGACCATCCGTAAGCCAACCGAGCCCAGCGCGGATTCGAGCGACTCACCACGTCATGAACACGAACAGACGTTCCACGCCTACGCTTGAACCACGCCAGAGCAAACATGCCGAGGAGCAAGAATGCTGAGAAGACAGTGAGCAGTGCGTTCATGCTCTCGGCAGCAGACGTGATGCCAAAGTAGCCGCTATGGACTCCACACGCAGATTCCCATTGTTTCTGGCTCGAGATAGCAAAGTTCTAAAGGACACATGAGACCAGTGAAAAACGACATGCACAGGTCGTACCTCAAGGCGATACAAGAATTCTGTTACCGCAATGTCTCCTTTGTGACCGAAGATGGGATAAGTCTCGAATTCCCCGCTGGTTCCGTTCTTGAATTTGATTCGAAGGAATTCACGCAGTTCGGGAGGAGGTCCACGAAGAATCTCAAAGGCAAGGGCGGATGCATGGTTGGCTATAGTGATGCCAATATTGAGTAGCTGTATGGTTGCCTGAAGCCGATTACTCACGAATAGCAGCGAGCTGAGGGTGCTCATTGACCATCTCCATCATGTGGAATAGCGAGATGAATGGCTGGTAACTCGTCTCGAGCAGGAGGAACTTGAGGGGGTCGCTATCAAAGGTGATGCGCTCAAGGGAGTGGAGAATGGGATGAAGGATTGTACGGCCAGCAAACTATGCAGGAGGTTAGACGCAAACCATACAGGTGAGTGAAACGCACTGTTTCCGATTCCACCTATTTCCCTTGTCAGAGAAGATAGCGTTTTCGTGGTAGCTAGCATATCCGTGGGCCTGCTCGATTGTAAGTCGGTGGAAGACGGTACGCATAGGTCTGGTTGTGCGTAAGTTGCGAGTTAATGTAGTCATAGATCTACATGAGATATCGTAAAGTTAAAAAATCGTCATGGAGCTGCTGCGTGATACGTACGTTCCACTGTCATAGGGCGATTAGCATGAGCAAGGATGAAACAGAAGTACACGTACAGCGTTTTTCAAGCTCCGTAGGCCTTCCGAAGACGTAGTCGCGAACGACACTAAAGAAGCGTTCTGCAGATGTCGCAGTCTCCTCGAATCCCTTAGATGCGTACACATCCTTGATGTGCTGCTCGAATGCCTATAGTATCCCCAGATGAGCATCCCAGTGACTCAATAGAGGCATGCAACTTTAACAGGGCACTGAGTCCAGGGCTCTAGCGCACGGTCAACGCCACTCGGGGCCATTTCAACCGGAACGTACTGGTAACCGCCGAGTGGAGTAAACGATCTTCGTTCCGTTAGCAAGCTCGATCTCATTGTTCGAATTTGGCGGATAGAGGCCTTGCAGGACGGCTATGGCACTATCAAAGATCGCAGTGCCTTCCCCACCAGCCTTGGCGTGCACGGCCAATTGATCATTCTGCACGAGGTCAGCATGGATGCCCTTAATGTACGATGGGGAAGAGGGGTTCAGGTATGTCGAGCGCAATAGCTTCCAAGTTGGTGGGATTCTACCTAGGGTCATATATTAGGTGGGATTTACGGAAGACGAGGTAGACATACAGCGCCGAGAGGCGTAGACTCGGTGTAGGAGGGCTCGTAGGTATACGGATCTTGGTAGAACTCGGTGCGGTCGCCGTTGCGGGCGATGATAAGGACACCATGAACTTCAGGCATTGCAAGTCGTTAGTGGGGTGGTGGATTAGCTCTGATGGAAGAGAAATTAGATGTAGTGGTTTAGCGTGGTCATCCTTCCCCGGGGTCGGTTTAAACCTTCTCGATACACACGGGCCATCAGATGTACCGAGCCGAGCTATTGGAACGACACCGGCCAGTTTCCTGACACAATAACGCATGGGCTAAGCGTGCAGACCATAAATCAGAGGCGCACATGCCGAAATGGAGGAACGTATTAGAGCCCCTTGATAACACCGCTTCTGCCTAACTGAGCCCCTCCGACTAAGGTCCTTTTGCAGGGCTTAATAGATCATCTGGGGAGATCAACAACGCATATCGGGGGCTGCAGGAGAAAATTGACGAATGGATCATACAAGACCAGCACGCACAAAACGCATGCTTGGTACGTGAGAATAACGCTGGGCAGATTTAATGCCACCACGCGTCAAACACGTGCCTAAGCATTCTCTGGCGCTCCGCGTGCTTTGGACGCGCTAGTGGAAGTCTATCGATCCCAATCCAGCACGAAACCAGATATTTAGAGTTATCGAGCATACATCATCATCTAGCTCTGGGTCACCCTGTCGTATGTCGGGAGATATGAAGGTCTTGATGAGTCAAGGCTCTGTGGGAGAAGAACCATTAGCACGTGTGATCGGTGAGGTGGGCAATGTGAACAGCAGGTTCGATTAGATGGCTAAGGTGAATAACGTGCGGGTTTGGTGCGGATGCTTACGTCGCAATTAGATTGACCAACATCCGGAGGGCGGTGATACCAGACGTGCTACGACCCTCTCAGAACTTCTTCGATTCGGTTTCGGCGCATTATCGGATATAAGTCACGATCGACGAAGCTAGGGATTCGAATCAGAGCCTTTGGTACGAAGCCTACGACGAATGCGGATGCGCAAGGCGCAAATCTAGGAGCTCATACTTCGTGCACCGCCGCTCACAGGAATGGGATTTGTATTGATAGCTATACAGCTTCGCAAACAACACCCTACCACGGAATCTGCTTCCCCAAATAGTTTGTAAAACTTGCCCGCGTCAGCCAACGTAAGTTTGTGTCCACGACATTCAGAATGCCCGTCACAGAGACATGAGTCTCAATCTTCGCACGCTCGCCGCCCAAGTCTGTCTTTACCCAACCGGGGTCCATGAGGATGGGGATGAAGTCGGGACGCTCACGCATTTGTTTGTACGTCTGTCGCATGGTTAATCAGGACCAATTGTTAAGGTAGCATAGACAGGCAGATGAAAGAACAGCGGAAAAGAATTCATTCATGAAAGCAATATAGCAACAAGAGATCGATGACAAGATCGCCTACAAGCATGTTAAGCCCCGCCTTGCTGATGCTGTAGCCGGTTAATTTGGGCCCGAGATCTTTGCTAATACTGGCAAGAGAGGAGCTGATGTTGACAATGACTTTGCGGCTGCTGTTCTCGATGGCTGGGAGAAGGAAGCGTGTAACCAGTGCTGGACCTGTGACATTGCACTTGATCGTCTCTGCAAACACTGGATCGAAGCTAGATGGCAAGTCTGTGACGGGGCTCTGCAGTGCAAGAATCGTCATACAGTCTGTAACAGCTAGCACAGCAGAACGCACGATCGCAGCGTTATTAATGACGTAGTCCAGTCCAGTGCCATTGAGAAGCTCTAGAACTCTTGAACACCCAGCCTTGATACTGACTTCGTCCATTACATCGATTTGGACGACGTGGAGTATCCCGGAACTGGATTTGAGAGCATCGAGGGCAAAGGCTGTGGCAGGAGAACGACAGGTGGCAAACACAGTGTTAGAAGATGACTCTAGGAGCTGCCTGGTAAGTTCAAGGCCAATTCCACGGGATGCACTGGACGCACATGGCATGAATAAGGTAAGAAACTACATACGATCGACTTACCCAGTGAGAAACCACGTGACTGACATTTTGCCAAGGCCCAAAATGAAGTTTTAAATTGGGGGCGAAGGAATCAGGAAATATTCAAAAGTCTCTGTATTAATATTGGGATGGTACTGCGGAACACATTGAGACGTCGGTAGGCCACGGTAAGCTCTCGGAACAAAGTCGAGTGTGGCTATTTTGACGTGGTCGTAACGCAGCGGTGACGCGGCAGTGACGCGAAGACTCGTTAGCATGGAAGGAGACCTGCCCCCTGGACGACAAATGCGGTACTGACGCGGCATGGGTAATGCTCGACGTGGCATGGGTCAGGCTTGACGCAGCATGAATGGAGGGCTTGACATGGTACCGAGGCTCCATGGGGAAACTTGACAAGCTTGACATGTCGATACCGTGATGACACCGTGACATACTTAACCTTGGTCCTTTATGAAAGCTAGCATTAGTCCACCATTAGAGACAGTACGGATACTACAACTTGGTTGATACATATACATCCTGGGACCCTGAGCCGTATGACCGCGGAGTCCATGTACGACT